CAATTGAACCTAGGCTATGGGGGATTCAACTGTGTAATATACGGCTAAAATACAAATACTGATAAATATTATTAATTGTTATCATGCTAATTTTACTGTTATACAAATAAAAAAAGTTTTTTTAAAAAGAGTGGAAGAGTTAAGAATCTAAAACCGCCTTAAGGACAGGAGTTCGCTTGAGTGCTGAACTGTGTGTCTGGTATTAAGTCTCAGCAAACAGTAGCAATTAAGTGTAAACTGCACAAACATTTTTCCAGTAGCACAGCAATCCAGATTTCTCTGAGTTTTTAAGCTGTTGTTAGCTGTAAAGGCTACCAATCTCTATTCCCCTGTTTCTGCATTTGCTAAATTCCAGCCAAAACAGAGGTCAGAGAATTGACATTTCATGGCAGAAAAAGTCACAAACACAAGAGAAAATGAAATTACTGGCAATCAAGCCTGGTTTTCTGGACACTACCGAGTATATTCTGCAGACTGAGAAGATGTGACATAGCTTTCTTGGGCAGTTGAGGTTGTGGGAACTAAACCAGCTCTTGGAAAACTCTGGTCTGCTAAGGAAATTTGTGATTGTACCAATAGTTTGTTGAGTCCTAATACAGAAGCAAACAATTTCTGCTTACTTTTCAAAGCAAATGGCATTTCAGACTCAAACAATGATCCATATTTGCAAAAAGAGTTCATGAGCACAAAGCTCTGGGTACAACAGGAACGTGAGATGCCTGGCAGTCAAACCCAGGTCTCAGTCCAGGGTCCCAAAATAGGACTGTCAAAGTGGTGTGAAGATCCCACACTGGGAGAGAAAAAGAAAGAAGAAAGAATGAACAAACAGAGGTGATAAAAGTATTCCTCACCTGCAGTATATAACTGTCCTCCTAGAGGAGAGGACATGCAAGCATCATCTCATTAAAAAAAAGAATCTTACAAAAATAAAAGATCAAGACACTTATGACGAGTGTGGCTTACAGTGGGACTTGGACAAGCCACCTCTCTGGCAGGACAACAGAGGGATGGCTGCCACAGAGGTTTGCCAGTAGTAGCTGTGGTTTCGTGAATTGCCTCAGGATTCACGCTACGGTAAAACTCATGAGCACAAGCAACTGAGGCAAGCAAGGCAATGGAGCATCAACCCCTTTCCTCCCTCATTACTGCCCTTCGCAGCCTTCACTTATGCCCTACAAGGAAGGCAAAGAGATACAGGGCTGTTGAGAAAGCGAAGCGTGGTAGGTGCCTGTTTGTTGATGTCTTGGTGGGACAAGGACACTAAGATGGCCTAACACATCCACATGGCAAACCAGCTGTCATAACCTAAATACCGAAGTTAATAGAAATCACTCTTCTTGTAGGCCTAAAATGATCAGCCCACATCTAAACTTGGGATCTTAAAATTCAGGAGAAAGGCCTGAAGTACCTCTGTATCTTAACTGGAGGACACAGCTGGTCAAATGAGCAGCTCACAGGAGCTCAGGTGTAGTTCAAATTTTCACAGCAGCCGTGGCCAGCACACAGGGCTCTGCCAGCACCTCAACTACCTATCTAATCTCTGAGGGGAATAAGGGCCAGGAAAATAAAACTCTGAGGGAAAAGCTAGAAGGAAAACCTGCCTGTTGTGGGCTCGGCCTGTGCTTCACCTTAGCGGGTCTTCATCCCCTGCCCCACACGGTCCCAGGCACGCAGCGTTATTTGTGTTACGAGCGGAGAGGCGGCTGCTGTTGGTCCCCAGCAGGCCGCCACGTCTTCTGCCCCCAGCACTGCTATCGAAGCATCGCAAAGCCCACCCGTGCGAGCGGGGCTGCCGGCTGAGCAACGGAGGAGGCCCCTTCCCACCGGGGCTCCTGCAGAGGTGCCCAGAGCGGGTGCTGCGATTCCCTGCCTCGTGACATGAGGCTCTGCGGCCACTGGATCTGCCCTGGGCAGGAGGCCAGCTTTAGAGACAGCTTGACTTTAGTTTTTATTTCATTCCTATTTTGCGTTTTATTTCGTTTTTAATTTGTAGTCTTTTGATCTACTTTTACTTCTTTTCTTTGTGTGCATGGTCTGGTCTCACAACACGCTGCCTCACAAACCGCGTAGCAACCGTGCATTTATTAGCTGTATGCATTAATGCATATGAATGCAGAAATGTAAAACAACTAGTGTATTTGTGTGATTACACGAAGATCGCAGAGGTGCCCAGAGCGGGTGCTGCGATTCCCTGCCTCGTGACATGAGGCTCTGCGGCCACTGGATCTGCTCTGGGCAGGAGGCCAGCTTAAGAGACAGCTTGACTTTAGTTTTTATTTCATTCCTATTTTGCGTTTTATTTCATTTTTAATTTGTAGTCTTTTGATCTACTTTTACATCTTTTCTTTGTGTGCGTGTGTGCGTGGTCTGGTCTCACAACACGCTGCCTCACAAACCGCGTAGCAACCGTGCATTTATTAGCTGTATGCATTAATGCATATGAATGCAGAAATGTAAAACAACTAGTGTATTTGTGTGATTACACGAAGATCGCAGAGGGGCACACTGCCGGTCCCTTGCCATTTTGGCATCCCCATTAGAAACACGATGGAAAGACGAGTGTTGTGGCTCCCTAGTCCATTACCTCCCATGTCCCCGGGCTTTCTGGCTCAGTGATAATAAAAGCTGCTTTATTTCATGGTCCAAGAGACTCAGCAAAATCCGGTTAATTTGAACTAATATTAATGTCAGGTAACATATTTACCCAGGAGACAAGAGAGCAGCTCCAGCTTCTCAAATATGTGGCTCTATTTCTCTTGCAGGCAATCAAGAAATGACTACACATACAATATTGCCAAAATATATGAAAACTGCCTTTTCGTTTGATACCTCGCTGCAGTTTCAGCTATTGTTTATAATGACCGGTGAAATTCAGAGACAGAAACCATTACTCTATTATGTTAATTGCAAGCACATTGCTAAGATGGACCAAAGGGCCTTGCTACTTCCTTCTGACCCTTTTTTTTATCCTCTCAATCCTACAGGTTTACCAGAAAAGCTAACTGGAGTCTCTCCTGGCTTGTTTATTTGCAAAATAAAAATGCAGTCTACATAACTTCATATAATCAACATTTCACTACAGAAATGCAGTCTCTGGGAATATTAACAAATTAGCTGACAGACTCATTAACTGTGAGAAAAGCATAGCAAACCCTGGAGCACTAAAAAGTCATTGCTTGTCTTTTTGTTGTTGTTGTTTAGCATCTATAATCATCTTGATCTGTGATGTGCATGGAGAGCTGAACAGCCAGAAGAGGGTAGCATAAGTTAGTTAATAAACCTCATCTGTAAAGCAGAGCTATTTTTGAGAGAAACACCTACTTAAGTTTCTGACTGCAAGGCAAAGAAAGACAATATGGAGAAACTTGCCACTGAGCTATTGCTGGAATTTGGAGAGGATGGTTTGCAACCAGAACTGGCAAGGACTAGCTTGATAGGAAGCCACAAAGCTTTTCACACTCTGCTTGTAACTCCTGTTTGCCCAGGGCCTGTGTCAGCGAGAGTTGTGCAACTGAGACAACCGAGTGGCTCTGCCCTGCGTGCCAGCAGCGCACATCAGTAAAACTAGCAGCCTTCCTGAGTGCACCCTGGCACCTCAGCTTGCTGCAGCAAGGCCAAGAGGGCAGATGCGGGAAACAAGGGAGGCCTGTCCCCCCAGTCCCCACCAGAGAGGAAAGGGAGAACTACCCTTGCTGCAGACACAGCCAGGCACAGGGGAAGCTGCAGGGACTGCACGTGTGGTTTCAGGCTTCCTTCAGCCCGGGATTAGCGGTGTAAAGCAAGCTCATGAGATGGCTTTTGCCACGGAAAGAACTTGCTGGGGTAGTCTGAGAGCAGGAGGACAAGGAAGGTCTGCAGAGGGCTGGGAAGGGAATTGCTTTTGCCTTACAGGAGTGGTTATATATCCCAGAGAGAATCAGCTTCCACTAGGCTAGAGGTTGTGCATATACCTAGGAAAGCAAAAATTGTCACCTGAAGGAAAAAAAAAAAAAGAAGAATAAATAAAACCGACAAAAGCACAGACAGGCAAATGCGCAACATCGCACAGCGGGGCACTGACGGAGAAAATTCTTGTCCCGTCCACTTGCTTCTGGCTGAGCTGCTTTTGATTGCTTCAGAGGCAGTTTGTTGTACACATTTACCTCTTGGAAAGGCAGGTACTGCACCATAATAACCCAATAAAGTGTATTTTATTTGTGCTCTATACCCAAAGCAAAGTGGAAATAGCAACCTGAATATCTCTTTTTATTATTCTTTTCCCTCCACCCCTATACAACACATATACAGTAAAGCACCAAAGCTTTCCATTTCCAAGACCTTTGCATGAGAGTATAAATGCTCATGCCCTTCACCTGCTGCAGGGCTACAATGCAGCCACTCTCTCAGCTGGAGTGTATCTGCTGTATAGCATACAGAGTATCCGGGAGCTGCAGGAGGGAAGGGGACAGAGAACACTATAGGCAGGTGGCATGAGGGTGGCAAGCTGTAATTTTATGCCCTGAAGAAATCAGTTCAGGTATAGTGCGAACCTTTGTGTGGCAAAGTCTGTATTTTTGCATGTCTTTAAAGCACTGCTGTCCCTTTAAGCTGCGTATGGGGAACTTGCTTACAAATTCCCTGGACTTGGCCTTTGGTAACAGAAAGTACTCTTTAAAACAAATACACATAAATATCCAGCTGCCATGTCTGCTTCAGTGAGACTCGTGCATCTGACCTTTTTTGACATGATTTAGAAGCAAAGCTAACTCTAAAGATCCTTTCTGGTCATCATCCTGAATGATGCAGAAAGGCTACGTCGATAAATTGGCTCCTCTAACATTTTCTGCCTTTGCATTTTGCACCTTGGCTTCTGGGGCACTCAGGAGGTTCGTTATGGAAGGTGATGCCTGATGAAGTCAGCTTTCTGCACGCACACATCCCTGCTCAGAGCTGCAGGGCTAAGGGCTCCGTTGCTGCTCGCGTCAGTCTTGCTTGGCTTGGCACTTGACTTGGCCTGTCCATTAAAAGGAGTGTGAGGATGTCCATGCAGAGTCAGCTAGTCTGGCTAGAACGGTTTCCCCTTGTGTTTCCACACTGCCAGACACTGTTCCCTGCAGAGGGATTTGGACTGATGAAGATGCGGTGGGTAAGGGGACATTACCCCTCAGGAACATGCTTGAAGGGCTGCTGTTCACCTCGTTCCCTGGGTTGGCAACGTTTACACCACTGTTGCTCACCGTCCACAGGCATGGGTAATGGCTGGAGAAAAACAAACAACAACAACAAAAAAGCAACAGAAAATGAATGGTTTGTTTTAAAACATTTTTTTCCCATCTGAAAATTTGCTCTGGTACAGTCAAGTATGTTATCTGGTAAAAGACTGCTATCTGAAACAGGTTAAATGAGCTAGATGAGCTTTGGACATCTTAACTGAAAAAACACCAAGGACAGACTAGACCTGCTGGAGACAGTCATGAAGAGAAATGTTTAGATAAATAAACGCAAGTTTCAAGATTTAAGAATCTTTTTTTTTTTTCCTGTAAATGTTTACATTTCAAATAATTTCAACTGGCTTTTCTAGTACCCAAATTAGAGAAGCAATGCATGCATTTATTTTAGGAGGAAAGAAGGAGTGTACTTGTTAACTAGCTGGACATAAAATGTCTGTATTTCAGCCCCTCCCAGGACTGTTTGCTCCTCTGTTAACAATATGCCTATAATGGATCATGAATTAGACTTCATTACATCCCTGCATATGGGTAAGATTCTTATTTCACGCAAGAGACTAATGAGAAGCACAGAGATAAAAATATTCTGGCTTTAAAATGTCCACTAATTTTAGATACCAGAGTTCTCTGTAGCCACGCCAAGATTTCCAAAAGTGCTGTTGAGAAGCTGCAGCAGCAGATGATTATCTTCTCTGAAAGATCAGTCTAGGAATCTCATATTGGGCCTTTGGGACACACTAAATTAAGGATGTTTATTAAAGCTTAGGAAAAAACTCTGAATCCCAAGGGCAGGTGCAGCTCAGATGTGAACGGGCGCAGAGACCTCTTGCCCGCTCATCCACATGAGGCCATGAAAGAAGGGCCCAGTTCTGTATTGGATCACTCAATACCAATGCAAGTGGAACAAGGGGTTGCAAATGGGGAGATACCTAAGCAGGTGTCCCCACCCTCTCACTCTCCTCATGCTGCTGCATCTTGGCCGCAGCTCGCTGCCTCTGCTGCATGGGACTGAGAAGCTCAAGAGAAACTGAATTATTGTGCGAAGAATAGGGGAGTTTTCTGTGCTGTGACAGGGCAGGTGGAGACCATGGCTAGACACAGGGGCTTACATTCCTCTAACCTCACCTACAAACCTACACCTGAGTGAAATCACTCTGTCGACAAGGCTAGGATTATTTTGAGGCTATTCCTATTTGCCAGTCCTAGCTTTCAATATGAGATAACTCTCTATTGTCAGGCCATCTATTTCTACAATAGATTGCCACTCATTTCCTCTTCCTTAAATCAAGTTCTTGCACCATTTAGCAGTATTGAGGAATTCATTTTTTATTCCTAAAAAGTCACTATTCTAATCATTTTCCAGAGCACAGTTTTGATGAGGCATCCTATATGCTGCAAGCACAGTATGCATATTAATAAGCATGATAAGAAAAGCTAAAACTACTATAGTCAAATTGACCTCTACAGAAATACTACTTTTAAAGATCTCTGGAAGGCTTCCTATCTTGAGATACTCTGTACAGGAGAGCAGAGTGAAGGGACATCAGCAAGTGGGTGTACATACAAATAACTAATATTTCTATAAGGCTCCACATTTTTTTAAACACAGATGAATGTTACTAGCAAGCAAGCCCTTCAGGTAAACGGCACCATCCTCGTTTTACAGATGAAAGTGACAAAGTGACCTGCATAAGGAAGACTGTGTGCCAGGTCAATAGTGGATACAGAATTAGTTACAAAACCAGGATGGCCGTCAGACTTTGTTCATACCTACAAGCCTCACTGCTCCTAATACCAGTAATTTTCCTGTAACCTTACCTGGGCCCAGGGCTGGCAGTTCCCTTGCTGTGAGGCACTGAGAGCAAATTCGCATGTGGAGAGGATGGCAAAGTCCAGCTGTCATGTCCTGGGAATACCTGAAGGTTATTGCTGGAGCTCTCCAACAAATTCACTTTGGGGAGAAACACAAATCTTCAGTGACTATTGCAGAGACAGTGTCTTAGGACAAGAGAAAATAGGGAGGTCTGAGGAGGCAATCTTAGCTGCTGACAGCTTCCCAACCATAGGCAAAAGGACAAAATCCTCTTCCTTATTAAGGAGCAGCAGGGTGTCATTGTAATTTCACACATAGTATGTAAGCATATACAGCATGAGAGACATAAGCATTTTGGAAAAGTCTAGCCAATGATCTTTGATTAATAGTGACTGACATATGATTGACAGTGTTTTGATACAGGTTTCCTTATAGTCTGAGCTTAAAAATTTCTGCTAAATAGGATGTCTTACTAAATTATAATCGGGGAACAAATTCCTCTATCTTCTTCTCTCTTTTTTTCCAACCAATTTCATCCCACCAAAGGAAAATCAGCTTCTGGAACTCCATACCCACATCCAGAGAACGGAGAGGACTTAGAAGACATTCTGGCAATAGCAAAACATCATCATTCCAAGTCACCTCCAACCGTATTCCTAAGGAATGCTTTGACTCGAGGGGCAACTGCTTCATGACATGACATTAGAAGCAGCTCTGCAATGTTCTCATATTTCTGAATAATTTAGAGTGTAATTTAAGCAAGATCATTCACTCGCGTCTATAGCCAACAGTTACAATGCACCTATCCCTAGTACCTATCTCTGTATCTTTTCTTTGTTCACTGCCTTAAACATACTGTGTGTGCAAAGCTCAGGGCAGACTGTTACTGAGAGACTCATCGTGTTCCTTCCCTGCTTCAGCTCTTGCTTGGTTGGTTTTCTGCTTATGCTAGCATAAAATAGGCGTCAGGTTGATGGCATCTGCTCCTTGGAAGCAAAGAAAAACTACAGTGGTACCTGAGGGCGAGTGATTTCTCTGCATGTACGAAGGTGGGTACGGAGCAGCCCGATGTCCTCGGAGGGTTGAGTATCGCTCACAGCCATGGGGTGTGTGTGGGGCTGGCAGAGGCAAGGGGCCGGGGTACTGATAGTTAGAGCTCCCTGACGGACACATTGTGTCTGCGTTGGAAATCAGCCAGCCTCCCACTTCGAAGGGAAAGACAGAACAGAACTATTACAGCGCTGAAACAGTGCAGCAAAGAAAACAAAAGTAATGAAGTAAAATAAAGAAAATATCCAACTTTCCTTCCAAATCACCTCTGCCTCAGAAATACCAGGCAGATTCCAAAATACAGGTTTAATGGAACATCTTACAAGCAAAGAAAAAAAAAAACCCAAAACAAGATCTGGAAACAAACATCATCATAATATCAAAAAAACAAGTGAACAAAATTCTGACCACCATGAAAATGAACAAAACCTCTGCTCCACCCTCTTCTTTCCAAGCCATTGGAAAGCTTGGCCGCTAAAATTTAGATTTTACAGATGACAAAAATATTCACAAACATAACAAAAAATGAAAAATAAAACGAGGGAAGAGAGGGAATCATAGAAATGCCATACATCATCTCGTCATCTTGTTTCTAGATTCTCTCTAGTATCAAAAAAATGTATTATAAAGAAAATGATCCCTCTGGGGAAACCGTCCCATGACTTCCTATTGTGAGGTTTCTTAGCCATTTCTTTTAGGGGTCCCTTTCACTGACAGAATTCAGGACATAATGAAGCACTGGTCCGATCCAGCTAGGCAAATCCCAGGTTCCCAATGCCAATCATATCACACAACACTTGCAGCTCACATAAATGAAAACCTTACAGTGAGAATATGTCATATGTTGACCTTCAGAGACTGTTTCTGGAGCATCCTTTGGATGGTTTCTGAAAGGGAAATATTCAGTGGTAAGTTACAAAAGAAAGTAAAAATCCTGAAAACTATTCACTAAAATAATTAAAAAGTGAATACAGTCAAAAAAAGAGGAAGTTCCACCCTGTTTAACCATTTGCTAGGCAGCAGTAGATACTTCTGCGCTCTGCCATAAAGGAAGTGGAAACTTCAGTTTCATGACACATAATAAAAAACATCCTTAAGTTTGTGCTGAATTCGGATGCTGAACCTGGAACCCTGTGTCTATCAGTGGGCACTTTTCCTGCTCACGCTCCCAGCTGCACTGGCAGCAAAGTGTCCAGGCAAGCTCGAGGCAATGCTCCCTTTCCCAGCCTGCAACCCTGGGGCTGAGACCCAGCAGTTTCCTGCTGGGGACTGGTTCTCCTGCAGCCACATGGGACCGCATGGCAGAAAACTGAGCTGTTCCAGGAAAAAAAAAAATCATATATTTATATATTTGCAATTATTAATGGGAAACCATGATTTAGATAGTCTCCTTTTAAGGCTATACTAGGTTCATAAACCTTCACATAGTCCCATGACCAGTTCAGCTACTAGATTATGGAGACAGGAGAGCCACACTGCATTAGCATGGATGATACAATGAAAACTTTGAAAGATAACTGCACATCAATCTGTGCCTGATGGCAGAAGCACCTCTAACATCTTACATAGTGATCTCCTATGGAGTTATGTTTAATAAACATATCACACATTCTCATAGAAGTTTAATAAAAGCAGTGTAGCTACATTACAATTACCGTGCAATTTCACTTCAAATCTGCTTTTCTGCTTTCTGACATGTATAATTACCCTTTATTCTCCCTGAGGTATCTAATCATGGGATTAATTGGAGTGTAAATACAATGTATAACATTACTGCGGAAAATCACTCCATCTCAGTTGAGGCTGTCGGTGCGGACAGGACTAAGCGGTAGGATCCTCCAGAGAACACTCACCCACTTCAGAACAGATTGTGATAACAGTCATATAGAGCCTCCCCACTAACTTCAGTGGGGTGACTCTGGGTTTAAGGCAACAGAACCAAGATTAAGTTATGTCATTGATAGCTTTCGCATTATGCCACCAGTTTTAAACATACCATCAGCATTATAATGCCAAAGCAAAAAAGAAGCTGAACTCACCTTTCCTTTGCATCCAGGAAGGCTTTGGCAAAGGGATTATACTTGATTTTGAGAGCTGTTATCTTGAGTTTGCAAAAAACAAGGCATATTAGTGAAGACAATTGGGAACAGACACTTGACAAAACATCATCCAGAATACACTAAGTGGTACTGTCTTGTTAGCCAAACAAAATATGTGCCCTCGCATACATTATCCAGGGCTCATTTTAAGGGAGCTCCATTCTTTGCAGAACACCTATCCGTGCCACAGACAGAACCCCAACAGGGCCAGCCTAATGGCATAGTCTAATCTTGCAAGCTACATGGTATGATTAGGCCTTTCAAGACAGCTCGAATATGCTGAATTTCTTATGAATACAAGTCAAATCTGCAGCAACAATACTTAAGAGATGAGAGATATGAGTTAGCAATGGTTACACCACAAATCATCTCTCTATTACAATCTTGGTGCTGCATAAAAAGTTTTCCCATGGAATGAGTTATAAAGATAATGGTCTTGAATGTAGATTTCTTTCTTAGAGGTTGGGATGCCAAGACAGATGGATGAGTCGGAATAGCTGTGGAAGGATATTTAAACTAAATCTGGCTTTTCTAGTACAACTAGACACTGGATTAAATAATGTTCTACTTTGGAAGGACAAGAGAACATTAGGCTAGATAGGGTATGACACTGCAGGATTAACAGGGAAACAAGATAAGGACTGGCTTGCCTGTTGGCACATACTTATCGGGTAATTAATAAGCTTTTCACATAACTCATCAGTGATGACCAAGAGCACAGCGTGGCACCCGCCTACCTCTTCATTTTGGTAGGCAGTCACAGCTATGAACTGGGTCTCAGGGAAGGAACAGTTCATCACCATCCGGTGGGGGCCTCCCACACGAACTATGTGTACCTGAGGCTCGTATTTATGCAGGGAGTTCAACATTATCTGCAGAAAACAAAACACAGACAGACAGACCCCAGTGCCATTCTGGTGTCCCACAGCTGCCCTTTCCCTCTGGCTCTGTAATAGACCAAATGTCACTGCTAAATCCCCAGTTTGTGGTTACTGAGAGCAGGGGAGCAGATTCCTTCCTCCTTTCTGAAGGCCCAGAGGGCTGCAGGTGGCGAGACTTCATTGTACTTGGATTTAAAGCTTTTCATAGAACAGCAAGAGCAAATACTTGCATTAACAGCTCAGGGCTTCAAATTAATGGGACTCCGCTCCTATAGAGGCTGTTCGAGCACCTTGAGGTTTGGAAAGCGCTGTGTGCAATACATGAGCTTCTGGAAAAACACAGGTGTTAGCTGTTAGGTTTTAACAACAGCACAGGATGCGAAGCTGAAGCACGGAGTAGTCGCATAATTTACCTTAACATTGCTGTCTATATTTCAAAAGTAAACAAGGAGAGCTCCAGTCGTTTACCGCACAGTGACTTTTGTTTTGTTTGTCTCTCCTTCACTTTTTCATCTCTTGCTTTCTACTTTCTTCCTCCGCACTTTACACACACACACATCTGGTTCGCTTAGTTTTTCCCAGGATCTGTTTGATCCTCTAGGTTAGTTTCCTGTAGCTTCCCCCCTTCTTTTCCCCAGTGCATGCTTTCCTGAGGTCCTGGATACAGGACCAGTACTTGGCAAATTCAAGTCCTGTTTTATGCTGCGCAAAAGCTCTTATGTGCTGCTTCCTTAGAAAAAGTCAGGTCATTTTTCTGTTCTGTTCTCCAGTCTGTAAAAATGAAGATAATTTCCTACCTAATGAGGGTACTAGGCTTATGTAGGTACCTCACAAACCTAATAGAAATAACGGGAGGAGAAAATATATTTACATGAAAGAAATTGATTATAGGCTGACAAGTATCATCCAGTGTAGGAGTTTTGTACAAAACAAACAAGCAAACAAAAGATAGTGTGCAATATTTTACCTTCAGATGCATCATCAAAAATAAAAGACGAAACAAAACTAATTTTCCTGTTTGCATTTTAAGGGGTTCAAAGAGAAAGTCACTTATTTCTGGTACATGTGGTTTCTTTCCAAAGGCCAAAACTGATTCAATAGAATATTGATAATTATCATGATGCAGAGGCAGACATAGCAATTATTTCATTTAGGAGCAGCCTTTTATTCTGCTATCTGACTCCTGCCAACATTCCACTTACACCAAACAACATGGGGGAACACAACAAAAACCTAATACCCATGACCATTTTTCCCCCTTCTCTGAAGTCCTATGTAAAAAAACCCAGCACACAAGACCAACTCTGAAAAGCACCCTGATGATTAAGTAAACCACAGCACTTTGTCTCTCTTAACATCAAGAAGTCCATTAAAATCTGAAAGCGCCAATTAAGGCCTGTTTATTCCTGTTTATATTTGGCCTCCAGAGAATAATTGGCATCTGTGGGTGAAGAGGCCTGTAAGGGCCTCTATAATTACATAAATGCACCCTTGATATTTCTTGATTGGTAAGTGCTTGCGATTGAAGCCAAGAGGTGCATGGAGAAACATGAGGCCATACCTGCCCGCTGCCATTGAGCTTGTTGGTAAGCTTGACTTTGCTGAAGGAAATGGCAGCCTTCATCCAGTGGGCCCCAAAGTTGGGAGAATCCGGGTGGATGTAGACGCAGCTGTGGTTCGGCGGCTCCGGTTTCCCAGCTGGCACCCACTCTCCATTCACGTACTTCCAGCGGTGGCCATCAGTGGGGGCAAAGTCCAACAGGAAGGAATACATTGCATTTGGGTCCAAGCCCGATACGCTGATCTTTAAGACAGGGAACATGCGCCTGACCAGGAAATAGAAAAGCAAAAGACTGCTGGAATCTGGTTTTGAAAGGCTCTACAATATGTTTGTGGCCCGATGCTCACAAATTATCTCAAAGTGAAAAAAAAACCCATCCCTCTCTCTCTTTCTCTTGCTATCTGAAGGAAAGTCCATTAAAGGTCAATGCTTCATTTGACACGTTCTTGTCCAAGTGATCAAAATACAATATAAGACCTGGATCTTGAAGGATTCATGAACAGACGTGCTTAATTTATGCACTGTGTACAGGGTCAGCAGAGTCCATGGGAATTAGATATGCTAAATACACCCTTAGGCGTGAAGCAAGAAGGCTCAAGAGGGTTAAGCAGAGTTGAAAGTGATTGAGAAGGTGGGCTGAAACACAGATTAACCCAAGAATCCTATAATAAACTGCACTTCTTTGAGGCTTCGATCCTCCATACTTTGTCCAGTGGCCAAGTCCCATTTTGTCTGATGTTTGTAGCGGGATAGATAAATACCCTAGAACCAACCTGCAATCATAAGCACTCAGGACATAATCTCAGTCAGATACTCAGACAGCGGGTAGATTTTTTGACTACACCCCCATAGGAAGGTTTTTCTTCCTTCCTTTGAAGAGATACACACCGTCTGTAGTGTTTGTGAGCTAAGCAAAGTAATCCAGGATCTATTCTATGAAAGGAAACTGAAAGTTCTTCATTCCTCTTGTTATCTGTACTGCCCCTGTCTCTGTAAAGAGACAAGGAAGGGGGAATTAATGTGCAAGATATACAAGAAATGTAATTCAGTAACCTATATATCCAGAATACTGTTCTTCTAGCCTATTTTGAACTATATCAGATTCTGCTTTTTTTTTGATTTCTCTGGAAATGCTTGATGTGGCCTCAGGTCACATTTCCTTTTACATTAGTTTTATTATTTTGGTAGCATTCACTCCTCCTTCAAAAGATGCACAGTCCAGGTCATTTTCTCCCCATCTTTGTCACCTATAGCTAGTGAACCACCTGGATGCCAAGTTCAGTGGCCAAAGACGGGCAACTCCATCTCTGCGGTACAGTCTGCTCAACTTTGCCACTTTTTTTTTTTTTTAAATCTCACTCCTATTTTTTGTGCCAAAATTATTAATGAAAGTATTAAAAGGAATTCTAAGGTCAGGCCTGGAGGAAGCCCAGCACTACTTTCTCCTCCATTGATTTACAGGCCATAGTCCTTGTGTTAATGCCCATCATCTCCCATTTGGGTAACAGTTTCCAGGGAGCATCACTTTAAATGCCTTAATAAGTCTACTATATTTTCCTTGTCTAAAAATATTTCATCACTGTTGTATCAGATTAGTTTGGCATGACTTAAATTTAGTAACTCGCCTTTGATCTCATATTCCACTGTCTTCCATAGATTTGATTATCCTCTCCATCCGAATATATCCTCAACTCTTACTGCAGGGGTTTATTAAAAAGTCTGTATTTAGCTGATATACATTTTCCTCTTTCTTAAATATAGATGTTCATGTGCTGTTCTACTATTATTAGATAAATGTTCAATTTGGTATGTCTGGTTAAAATACTTGCTGTTAGACCTGCAGTTGGAAATTCTTTCTGTAATTTTCCCCCCTCCTTCCATTTCTCTCCTTGCTCATCAGCTGAATTAAAACAGATTAATTGGCCTTTAGTTTTACCTTGGATACAGTGTTGACCACTACTATGCTCTACAACCTGCATCATCTAGCCTTCCTACTATCTTGTACATTTAAAACTGAAAACCCATCTTTTCTTCTTTAGTAAAGGACACAGAGATGGAGTTAAAACAGCTCCCACAGTTTCAGGAAGCATCATCTAGCCTTCCTACTATCTTGTGCATTTAAAACTGAAAACCCATCTTTGTTTAGTTTTGGGAAGGTACTTTGAAACATCTTTTTTACTGAATAGAGCCTTCTGAGCTTAAAGGTACAATGACACCTTTTCTCAGTTCCTTTCTGATTATATATTTTCTTCTTTAGTAAAGGACACAGAGATGGAGTTAAAAGAGTTCCCAGTTTCAGGATCTGGGAAAAGGGAGCAGAAAAGAGCAGTTTCCCACAGATAGCTTCTTTATTACGTTTCTTTCTCAAGGAATATGTGTTGTTACTGAGGAGGATTATCAAAACTGCTGTCTCACTTCCTACACAGCCACAAGGTGCCATGTCCCAGAGAGCTCCATACTGACTTCTTCCCTCTCCTTGCAGCTGTCATGGACTCACGGACCAGGCCAGGCTTTTCTTCACAGGCCAAAGCATCTTCAAGCTCTCTACCATGCAGATTGGTACGACCAATTGTCTGTCTCTACGACCAGACAACCACGGCAATTGCTTGAGGTCCATGACCACGGAGCTGAGGTTTACCCTTAAAGAGCTCTTACAGTCTACACTCATTACCTTCTGCTCACAGAAAAACACAGGAACTGAGGAAAAAACATGATCTAAAGTAGATATTTGCAGCACCACTACAGCATTCTACACTACAGATATTCTACAGCACCACTGCAATACTTAGAAAGACATACTGAATCATGACCTTTCTAACTTGAATTGCAGCTCAGCGAAGGATTTTATAGGCTACATTTAATGCCTGTGTTGACACTGTATTGAATCGATGGATTGAAACAACAATCTCGTGCAGCTACCAAGCTGGGATGTGATAAAAGGCTTTGCTGCCTGCGTGCCCTGCTCCCCCTGCAGCCAGGCTTTGAGGTAGCACTCCTGCATGGTTTGCTCACTGGCCATGGAGGAGAGAAGGCATTCGCAGCAAGATTTAATTTCACGAGATGTTGCAGAACTCTACCTCACACGCACACTGCTAATTGCTCTGCCCGCAATCCAACCTTCGCTGCTGTTCTAATGAGAGGCTCAAGATTATCCTCCAAGATTTACCAACTTTTAAAGCCAGAACAGAACTAATTGTCACGTACTTTAGTCTTCTGTATAGCGTGTCGCAGCACTTACCTGTACTAATCCCCGCTCACACACTGCAATTCCCAGTTCACCATGGCTTGACTGTACAGACTGTCATGATGGAAAATCCACCACATCACTTGTTCCATGATTCAGCTGCTTTGCTAGTAAAAATGATGTGCTTTGTCTTTCTTTTAGCTTGACAAATGATCATTTTTCCTTTTTTTTTTTTAGTCAAATTTTGGATATCAGTGTTCAAGTAGGTATACACATGACCTCACACAAGTGAGCACACAAGTCTAGCATTTAAAAATCAATGTGTTTGTCTGCATTGATCCATTATAGATTTTCCCCTTATGCAAAGAGGATTAGTGGAACCTCCCTGCCTTCAGAGAATACACATATTGCAAAGTGTCAGGATGCTATGTAGCTGATACGATATAAACACTAAGAGGGAAAACAGTCTCAGCCAGAGAGTTGGAATATTGAAATGCAAATTGAGTAAAATAAATATGAGTAAAATAAAGAACAATGATTCTCACCATATTCGTATTACAGCAACAGTTACACCCATTGGGTTTATTTGTTTTTTTACTTTAGAGGATATGGTCTAATTTCTCTAGGGTCTGTTCTGTTCAGAATATATCCAACTTTTCTAGCTAGGTGTAGATGATGATTCTAACAAAACACTGGAGTGCTGTTATAATACAGCATTAGAGACATATCTCTATGTTAGCACTGGTTTGCCAATGCACATAGATACTTAGTCTCTGTAATTTATGCAAAATTTATTTTATCCACTTGTGACATTTTGGTAGCCCTCAGTACCAAGTGCAAATGACACAAGTAGCTAGAACTGTGCACACTGGAGTTTTATGCTTGAGGATTGCTGGCCAGTCAGTCTTAGAGTCTGTGGGATGTTCCTGAATCTGCTTTCAATGTGTGACTTTAGCTAACAGGGTATCCACACAAACTGTCTTAGTTTCCTCACACAGAAGTTCAGATTGTTTTTCTCTTCTTACTTTTAGAATGCACTTTTTGAAAGCACTCATATATCCTTCTACAGGAAGGATTCAGCAGAATTAAATCATCATCTTCTTTTGAGACTCCCTCTAGAGACATATGCTGAAGTTTCCCAAACTCACAAAATCTCAGCACTCACTGGAGAGCTTATCCCCTTTGCCTATGCATGGACTTCCCAGGAGGGATTTTACTGCAGAACACTCTCTATATTTCTTTTTTTTTCTTTCTTTTTTTTTTTGTGTGTGAGTATGTGTGTGTGTGTGTGCACTGATGCATTTGTAACAGAAGATACTTTCAGAAATGCAAAAGAACTTTTTTCATAGTTTCCAGTAGTACAGTAACTTTGTTATAACGATGTAGGCAGAGGACATGGTGTAATATATTTTTAGAATTTTATATTTTGAGAATGCTCTAGTCTGAGAAAAGAGAAACCTGTTCCTGCCCACATCATCATTAATATGCCTGTTGTTGGCTTTGGGAAAGCAGGATAAAGCTGTGGGGTGTAAAGGCTAGAAAGAAGGAAAATAAGGGAGCTTCCATAATCAAATAAAAAGGAACCATACATATGCAAAAACTGATAGGGTCTCTCCCACCATCATGAAAAGATTTTATCTCCACATTCACCTAGATATTTAGGGAGAAACAGTATCCGCTGCCATGGTAATTACATGAGCTGAGAATGAAGAAATTGAAAAAAAAGGTAAAGGTGTTATTCTTTGGACTCATTTAATTAATCTGAGGTAAGCCGATCTTATTTATTTATTAATTTAAACTTGTGCTGAAGAACCAGTTTAAGAAGCCTTTCACTAGGAGAAAGTCCACTCAGAAGTTTGTCCTGGCCTAATACGAATTTTTAAAACAGTTTAAATGAAGCAAAAACATCTTCTGAGTGTACAGAGAGCCCCAACAGGAAGAGATCCCTGTCACCATAGGCCCTTAGGAGGAGTGAGAGCGGCAGTAGGCCATGCTGGCCAGGAGCAGACATCCCAGGAATGCAGCTGTATCCACAAGGGGATAACCTCGCTGGGCTAACAGACTAGATTCTTCCTCTTTTGCTGCCATCACCTTATGTTCCTTGTCAAGCTGCAGTCAACAAACACCATTCTGCTGAATCAAAGTCTCTTTCTGCAAAATTAATAAAAGCCACACCAAATGAGTAGCTCTTACTCCCTTTCTCTCAATTCCTCTCTCTCACACAGATCTTCTGTAAAGTCTTGAAATATATATATATAATATATATATATATGTTATATATATATATATGTGCAATGTGGGGGCGGTAGTGTTAACGGATTACATAAAAACCTTAATATCAGGTGAACTTACCCTAGTAGCTGCCTGTGATTGGCTGGACTCTGTTATCAGCCCAGATTAGAGCAGAACCTCTCTGGGGAGCCTCCTCAAAGCCAGTGCCTGGTACAGAACTAGCATTCATCACTCTTGATTTTGTACTCCCCTCTCCTACGCCTTTCTGTTCTAGCAAATAGTAAAAAAAGGTAATCCATTTAAATTAGAGTATTTTGTATTCCTAAAGCCCTGCAGATAAAGCAAGAATTTGCACTGACTTCCAAGGGCAATAGCAGCAAATCTGGAGCAAAACACTTGTGTGAGCAGGCAAATCTGGACTGCGCACACATGTGATACAGGGCCTAAATGCAAGACACCCCTTTTAGAACAGACTGTGTGCATGGGCTCTTTACCCCACGGCTGCAGAGGCAGGAGTATCGGCAGCTGGGTATAACATCATTGATCTACTTTTCAACACGAGTTTGAGGTCTCTGGGCAAGGACTTGCTAGTGAAAGCTGATTGCTACTGGTACAAGAAGCGATTCAAACAGTTTGGGGAGAGCATCAATTCCCTGTTGGATGTTCCCCTTTTCATGCAACCTTAAGTCAATCAATGTATTTCTCCAGCACGTTTCACAGGTAGCAATAAAGGGTGGCTGGAATGATTTAGCAGGGACCAAAACAGAAAGGTGCTGCCCTGCTCTGTTCATGTGCCATCTATAGGGAACTCGAAGACTGCGGGGACAGCACCGTTAGGTGCTCCTCACAGCACCTCTCTGCCCTGCATGCGCAGTACTCGTTATCTCGGCTCCTAACCCCCCTCAGGCTGTTGTCTGTGCTTAGCCCAAAGGCTGAAGCGATCACTCACCTGCCGTTCTTGGTCACGATCATCTCATTAGTGACTTCCCTGAATCGCTGCCAGAGTGTCGCGTCCTCCAAGATGACCTGGAGCTGCTTCTCGGTGGGGTCGCCTTTGTCTCTCCCAGCCCGGAGTTCGCTCTCCACCACTTTTTTGACACAGTGCAGTCGCTGGGCTTTTTGCAGCCCAGGTCTGTCATGACGGCTTCACTGGCGAAAGCTTCCGGTAGCTGTTGAAAGATAACAAAACAAAACGAAAACCCCACTAAGCTAAATCTAAACGCAGATCAGTTCATGGGGCAGTGCCTGATGAACGCGCGCTCCTCGCTCTTCTGCCACTGACTATTACTCCTTTCCCTGGAAGTCCCAATGGGCAGCAACACCAGCGCGTGGAGGTTTACGCACACGCTCCACACAAAAAGAGGACTATCTCCTAATTACCTGTCAGACGGTCAGGTGGGTGGCAGGCTGATGACTCAATTGGCTGCCTTGAAAGAAGAGTCCTCCATCCAAATTAGCATGCTTTTATCTTTTTTCAACCTGAAGTGGGTCTAATTGTTCTGCTTGAGAACCAGGTTTCCATTAATGAAAATTGTTTCATTTCCAGACTGAAACAATACATGGAAATTGCATTCACGCTGGTGCAGACTCCAGCTGAAGAAGCTGGGAACAGTCAAGATTGTTACAGAGAGGAACTGGCGTTACTGGCCTGCTCAACACTATTTCATGCAAAAACTCCCTCAAGATCCCCAAAACAGGCAATCCTTCTCCTCTCAGCCTGAGAGACCTTCTCTGACAAGCTTAATCTACCTGCACATACCCCCATCCCCGTGAAGGGCAACAATGCAGAGTGTTGTCATTTTACCCTGAACATCACCATTTTCAGCACTCAACAGGAGATCTGGGTTCAGTTCTATGCTAAAGGGTGAAGTGAAGGTCAGGGGAACACCTGAACACTGGGCTTTGGCACGCAGGAAGGATTTAAGGGCCCAATTTCTTCCAATGCATCTAGCTCTGATAGTGCCTGTGAAGTTTGTGGTCTGTTGGACATGACACAGTTGGGGCCTTCATTACAAAGACATACTATTGGAATGTGGTTTGAGAAGTGTATTTCTAATTACCCATGGCAAACAATGTAATTGAACAGCCCCTGTTGAACTCTTGTATTTGCATGCTTTCTAAAAGATAAAATGAATAAACTGAATAGAGACACTGGCTACAAGCCCTCAGCATAGCACAGCTCTAGCTTTAGAGCGATGTGATATTCTGCAGGAGATACTCATTCATTTTTGGAGAGAACCTCCACTTCACAGCAATCAACACAATAAAAAGATGCAACTTAGGTCTAAGGGTGTTCTTTTTTTTTTCCCCACTCTGGGTAATCCCCATCCTGCTATTTTCAAACTTCACATTTCAGTGTGTCTTCCTTCTGTCTGTTCCTTTCAGCTTTTATTTACCTTGGTTTAGTTGTCAATGCACAACAAAATTACCTAGATTATCTTATCAGTCAACTCATACTTCACAGAATCATAGAATTATAGAATCTTATGGTTGGAAAAGGCCTTCAAGATCATTAAGTTCAACCACAAACCCTTCCCCCCAGTGCCTGCTAAACCATGTCCCTAAGGGCCTCATCTGCACGTTTCTTGAGCGCTGCCAAGGCTGGAGACTCCACCACTTCCCTGGGCAGCCTGTTCTAGTGCTTCATCACTCTTTCTGTTTAGAAATATTTCCTAATATCCATCCTGAACCTCCCAACTTGAGGCCATTTCCTTTTGTCCTATCAGTAGTTATTCTGGAGAAGAGCCAACCCCTGGCCTCACTGCAACCTCCTTCCAGGTAGTTATAGAGAGTGCTAAGGTCTCCCCTGAGCCTCCTCTTCTCCACACTAAATAACCCCATCTCCCTCAGCAGCTCCTCATAAGGTCTGTGCTCCAGCCCCTTCCCCAGCTTCGTTCTCCTTCCTTGGACACGCTCCAGCACCTCCATGTCCTTCTTGCAGTGAGGGGCCCAAAACTGAACACAGGATTCGAGGTGCGGACTCACTAGCGCTGAGCACAGGGGGACGATCACTTCCCTGGTCCTGCTGGCTGCACTGCTCCTGATACCGGCCGGGAGGCCATTGGCTTTCTTGGCCACCTGGGCACCCTGCTGGCTCATGTTCAGCCTGCTGTCGACCAGCACCCCCAGGTCCTTTTCTGCTGTGCAGCTCTCCAGCCCCTCTGCCCCAAGCCTGTAGCGCTGCATGGGGTTGTTGTGACCAAAGTGCAGGACCTGGCACTTGGCCCTGTTGAACCTCAACATGAACCTCGTGATTATACTCTCGGGCATCAAATAGCAATGCCTAGTTCAACACAAGGTGGGACAGGTTATAAAAATGGAAGAATAGGAAAAAAGAAAATCAGCTGAATGCAATCAAAGACTGCTCTACTTCATTACATAGAGACTTCAGTACTACAACTGACATGTGAAAACCAGTTTATAAGCAAATTACCCAGGCTATGAGGCTATTATTAACTATCCCTTTCTAAAAAATATTGAGGGTATAAATCTTTACTTTGAATATTTAGCCTGGTTTAGGAAAAGTAAAATACATCCTTTAATCTTGTGTCTCTTTGTTCACCGGAAATAACAAGACATTTCCCAAACATCTATTTTCCATTCTACTTTCTTGCAAGATTAAGTTTTCCAAGTGTACAAATCCTGCTACCAAGGCAGAAAGAGCTTAGTATCTCTGGATGTGGGTATTCCTGAGGCACCGAGTGTCCTGTTCTCAGATGGGTTGTTTCTTGGCAGGAAGTTAAAATTCCTTGAGCCTGACTTAAAGGAAAAGGTACCTGCACGTACCAAGTCCTGTAGTAACATGGTAATTGATAATCATTGCTGTTGAAACTGAGACACAGCATGAACGACAGAGCACTACTACAGCTCTTGCACTAGGTTTCTGTATCTATTTAATTAAATCAATCAGTAGGGGCGTTAGAGGAAGTGGACAATGTTCTTACAAAACATCTATGAATTTAACTTTCCTCAAAACCCCAGCAGGGAGAGCTGGGCAGATCCAACCAGGAAGGAGACACTGTGTGGCTTGTAGCCTGTCAGAACTAACTGCTGCAAGTCAAAATGCCAAGTACAACACTCATAACCACCCCCAACCATGGCCAGGATTTACTGACAAGAATTCAGCAATTCTTAAAGTGAAATAAAGAGGTCTAGAGAGAGCGGAAAAAGAGCCACCTTCCAGCATTTACTGAATATAGTTCCAACAAGGAGAAAGCAGGACATTGTTTTTGACTTTCTCATTAAGTTCGTTCTAAAACACAACAGCTGGTGAGATGCGGCAGGAAAAATAAGGTAATTAAAGAAACCTTCCTTGCACCTGACATTGGATAGCTGGTTGGGGGGTTTGTTTTGTTTTTTGCCTTTAGACCCATGCTTCCAAATGAAAGGCTCCTCATGATCGTATGAAATCCCAGAAACAAGACTCTCTCTTTCCATCTCCAAAGCTCCCGCGAAGCCTTCAAACAAGTAACCCTGTCTGAACATTCAGTCCCAGCAACGCCGGGAAACGTAACCGCAATCACCATGACACTCTGAGGAAATCAACACCTATCAGCTACCAAGGAATAATTAAGAGAGGATAAAGAGACAGCTGCCTTCCTGGTGTTTTTTAATCATGGATGCAGCCCTTTAGAGAGATTGCTAGGTTATAAGGGACTTAGAGAAGATTAGCTTTTTCATTACTGCTGTGGTAGAGAAGAGAATGTTGGTGCAATTCCAAGCAGGTCCGTTTTTAGCAGTTAGGCAGGCAGCCTGTCCATGTATTATCTCCCTGCCTGGTGTATAATTGAGATCAGCCCAGAGAGCATGGAAAATTTTTCCAGAGAAAGGTTTTTATTGTTGTTGTTGTTGTTTTCCCTCTCAAAAGAAAAGGCAATCCTCCTGCAAAATCCTAATCTAGAGAGGTTTGTGATAACTATCAAAGTATCTCTAAAAAGCAATAGGTTTCCCTATTTTGCTCAGCAAAATTGGTGATTTTCAATGCCATCTCCAAGCAGAGAATATCCCACAGAGCAAATAACTACTATAGTCTCCCCTTTTAAGCTTAAACAGTAAAAAAAAAGACCAAAACAACAATAAAAACAAACAGAACTTCAAATTCTAAACATACTTTTATATTCTTCCTGCAAAATCTTAGAGCAAGACTAGACTGTGTGAGCTAAAGCTTTTTGATGATTTTGCAAGATAACTCAAGTTTAAGTATTTGTCTCTGAGAAATATGAGCCTTGCTACACCTTACTACACCCAACTAGAAAATAGCCTATTTTTTCATGGGCACATTTGCTGTTTTCACTCTCGGTAATATTTGGTAGCAACACCCCTCCAGAGCTGTACAATAATCATGTCTTTCAGCTACACTTTCACTGTACCATTTTCCCACTACACTAGGGCCACTCCACACTTATTTCTGCAGAGAATTTTAAAATACCACCTATCAGTAATTACCTTTTAGAACTGCCACAACAGAACCCATGGAAAATCAAAAGGGTTTCAAATAGGCTAACTCAAAGCAGCAGACCAAAAACGCCAGTCCCAAGGATTTGCAGCGTAGGTATGCCCATGATGTATCTCTAATTCATCAGAAGCTTTCTTCAGAGAGTTGGGGGCAGGGGGTGGCTCCCTTGGTCATGGCTGGACACGTAAGCCCCACTAACCCCTAAACCCACCAGCACCGCTACCAACACTGAACTCAACAGCAAGGACACGTAAGAGAAAACTAACAAACCACACACACTTCTCAGCCCTTAACATTGAACTTCTTGCAACACTGAACAGTCCCAAAATACTCCCTCTTGCAAATCAAACCTTGGTGAAAGAAAAAGGAAAGGGGAAGACATTAGGGGTGCTGAAGCCTCCACCAAATTCTAATATGGTACCAGCAACTCTATCCCAAAACACAGAAATGCTTTTCAGGGACTGGATGCTATAGCATATCTGATAAATCATTTCTGAGCAGCAAAACTATCAGCAGAAAACACTTCCCTTAGGAGTCATCTGATAACTCAGCATTTAAAGTCTCCACATCAAGATTTCATGTTTTGCTAAACCATTCGGCTATTAAGGCCTGAATGTAAACACTATGTGGCAAAGTTCAACAGCTTATTGTTCAGGAGGCTGAACTAAGCAAGCAAAATTGTCCTCTCTAGATGACTAAACGCGGAAAGGACTTACTGCCCTTTTAGGTTTCAGATCTACTCTCATATCTGTCCTGATACGAGAAAGATGCACAAAGCTCTCCTGACAGTCCTTGTAAGCAGTAACCTTTTCAGAAAGGTAAGGCACAAAGTACCAGGTTCCTATATTACAGGAAAAGAGGTACAGGTCTTGCTGTTTCAAATGAAGTTTTGGTGCTCCCCTTAGGACAGTAATTGCAGTGTAATCAGCTCCAAGACAGAACTTTCTAGGAAGAACAAACAAGAAAGCACATGGTCACCCACCCACCCCCCCACCCC